AAAGCACGCGAATATGCCGACCTAACTCTTTGTTTAATGAGTACATGATATAAATTGGATATCAGCAAATCCGCAATAACTTTAGGACGTCAGGAAACGATATGTAAAAGTGCCACACACGCGAAAATTTCACGTAGTTAAATACAATTAACTTATGCGACTTGTGCAAGTTAATAGAAAATTATTTAGGTAGGCATTACTATGAGATAAAAGATAAGCATTAGGACAAGATAGCAAAACAAGCACTTAAATAAAGATTCAGCGTGCAAGCACGTGGTTAGTTAATCGAATGGAAGCACATGCAGCGTACCTACCAACCGCTGTACCGGTCCTGCTTATGTTCTCAGCAACGTCCGTCGTCGTTTAGATATTGGTCCCGAGTGGCCTCGCTCGTGACATACTAAACCTGCATGGCTCAGACCAACAAAAAACCATGCTGAACAAAATGAAGTAGTACCAATGTCAGGAACAGAGAACAAACATTTTGAGCTCATTGGCTTTAGGTTTTTGGTGTGCTTTCACATGACATTTTGTTCTTAGTTTAGCATTTTGAATGGTAACCTTCTAATCACATAGTTCAAAACATTTTCATATACAGTTCTCCCATTGTTTCCGGTTTCGCGCCATGTCACCGTGTAGAGCCATTGACAGTCCGCATCCTTGAGCCCCCAGCCAGGAAGACTTACAATGCCTACGATGTTAAGATCAGCAATATCAAGATTTGCCGGCAACTGGTTGACTTACCTCCACGCGCACTCTTCCAACTCAATCTCGTGCGAGCAAATAAGGCGCGGCATGGCAAGTCCTTGCATGACATACGTAAAACCTGGCCAAGCCACATCAATTGACGTATTGCGACAAAGCGTTCAAGAGGAGGGCTCAACTTTCCCAAGACAAGACACCGGACTTTATCGCTGCGAACCCGAGTAAACAAGTGTTGTCAAAAGCCTATGCATGATATCCACACGAATAGGTTAGAACTCAATTCCGTACAATGAAAAATGAATTTATACGGGTTAAGAAGCGTTCCTCCACAAGTCCCGTAGGATAGTTGGTGGGGATATTGACATAACCATAAAGATAACAATGATAGTAAAATAGTTATTAATTCAAATATGAAAATAAAGCTAACCGTTTGCTCCGCCGTAGTCCTGCAATCCGCAGTTAACATCAGATACTTCCATGGTAAACTCCAGGCGAAGGATGGAGACGTAGTGCTAAGTGACAAAGTCTAAGTAGATGAGTGTGTTATCCAACCGTCTTTTAAATACTGTTAGTATTGGTGGAGAGACGACCGATTCCGAGAGAGCATTCCACGGGTGAGAGACACGAATGGAACCGAAATTTGCGGCACTCCAGAGGGCTATAATGTAGAGCGATTTTCAATGAGTGGCCTCTCGATCTTGTATTGGTGCTGTGTCGCATTAAAGGGTAGCACACGCGATGTGGGTCTCGCAGAATCAAATATGCCATAATCAGATCGCCTCGTATTCTGCGATAGCTTCCACTGAATACCCCAATCGTTGCCGCCTCTCCTCGTATGAAAGATTTCGCGTTCCAATTATGTTCCTAAATGCCCGACATTGTGACTGCTCCAGTGCACTAAGGTCGTGTTTCAGCCATGGATGCCAGGCTTGAATTGCGTATTCGACATGGGGGCGAACATACGGACTGAGCATTTGTCGAAATATAGGGTTGTTTATTTGTCTAAACGCCAGTCACAACATTCCGACGTGTTGGTTTCCAATCTTCGAGGCCTTTTCGGATTTCCTGGAGCAACCCAAGGAACCAGGGCACCCAACTCAAGTTCAAGAGTTGATTGTTGCAGTACATCCGTTCCAAGCCGGTATGAGTAGATGCTCTGATGTCGGATGGAAAGCACCTTGCATTTACTGACTTTGAAATATACGTTTTGGGTTGACCATTGGTATACAGTAACTAGGTCACTTTGAAGCAGACGCCGGTCGGCGTTCGCCTGGATACGGCGCCAAATTTTGAGAAAGTCGGCAACCATTAGGAAGTTCGATGCGATTCCCTGTGCAAGGTTATTAATAAACACCACTGCTGCCAGCCACAGGGCCCCGCACCTGCAGAGGGACCATAGGTGGCTTGCGCTGCACCACCCACAGATCCAACCACACACCCCATATCGAGTGTATACCCGAAGGAATATGGCCGGGGGGTATGTCGATGGGAGCCGCGTTTCATCAACGGAGCCGCCCCATACTCCTTTACAGGCAAACACAAGCACACTGTATTGGGGAATCAAGCGCACAAAAGGCGGTGGCTGGACCGTAACCACTCTACCCTGAGTGCATGGAAACACACTTGGATCCTAGCACTGCCACAAGAACCGTGCACCCCGTCCCCTCCAGCAACGAGCAACTGTTTTCTGGAGCCAGTATGGGCGGGGTGGTTGGTAATAGACAGGTAGGCACCTGGTCAACAAGCACGTCAAACGCAGCCAACTTTCAGGAGTAGTTATCCATACCTCTAGACCACTAAGAACACCACTGACAGCGGGGTAGACATGCATTCGACGTAGAGCAAGAGAGGGTTTGGTTTATTGTGGTGAAAATTCATCATGCTGGCTTATGTTGTCCGTATTTAATCTGAAAATGCTTCCAAAATTTGGAACCAGGAATTCCCACTAAGCCAAGTTTGACACCTATGCCAAGTAAGCTTTCAGCCTGAGTAAGTTAATAACCGTGTCGATTGAATGGCTGTTATGACCCAGGGTTTTGTATCACCCTTTAGTTTCATCTGATGTCCAGGACAAATTCACCAGTTCACGTCGCTCTGATTGGACTGCAAAGTGCCCTTAATAAACAATCAGCTGGTGCACCAGTTGACTGCATCCGTGAGCCGCCTGGTCCAGTGCCCTTTACCAGTCAATATGATGAATGACATGAAATACTGACGGAAAGGTTCAGTGGGGTTAACTGCGTGGACGTGTAAAGTACTTGTAACTTCCCCACACGATGGTGAACTGTACCTGGTGGTAGCAGATGAAAGGCTCAGCTGAATGAGACAAAAGAACGGGTTTATCGGTTGGAATAACGCAAAGCTATGCGGGTGGATATCGTTAAACACTGTCATAAAGCCAATTCCGGATCCATGTAGAATGCACTGGTATTGTTCCCGAGAAAATTGTTTCTGGAGGTGGTGCTTGTTTGTTCAAGACAAATAAGTGTAGCTCCAGCGATCTGCGGCAAATTACGGCGGAGTAGGTCGCAGAAAACAAGGCTTGCAAGAATGTGCGGCCAGTAACATATCGTAAATATGTATCTATGGGGATAGTTAAGGACTTATTTTTGTAACTATGATAATTCTATTGGTCTTAGTAATCACTTTACGTTTGATGTAGCTGTCTAGTTGTGTACCACCAATCTGCCCATTTTTATGTCACAGAAAGAATCAATGTGGGCAAAGATCTTCAAGCCAACGCGCTGCACCTATTTCCAAATCATATTACCCTTAATAATGTAACTCATCGAGCTAAGGGGCTGGTGAGTATCTTGCTATTCTTAGATAATTGTCTAAACATGCATGCGCAATTAATGCGGCCACTGTGTAAATCATTGAAACGCTGCATTTCCGGAGGAGTGTTACCAAGGTCCTACCACCATTTCCTACCTAGTCGATCATTTGCAAAGACACCTAAAACCATGTGGAATGAAAGCTGGTAGCATGGTTTGAGAACAGCTCTTATAGAAAGATCAGAAGTCAAGGTAAACGAACATATGTTTTCGATAATTTATCTTCAAGTTTATACAATTATATGCACATGAAAATGTACAGACAGATATTGCAAATCGCTACTATTAGAGCGAGTTAATTGGATGCTAACTGCGCTGCCTGTTAAGCCACAACAGCCAACCGCGCGTGACCTCGTGGGTCAGAGGTCACCGGCCGGTTGGGCCACGACAGTCCCAAGCCTTTAGGTAGCTTCTTCTGAACACAGCTCCGGTTCATACCGCCGGATCACAATTGCCTCAGCGGCTCCTAGTGGTCGCTTGCGGACGTAGTTCGAGCGGTTCTTAGGGCGTGATAGATAATTTTGAACGAATCAGTGAACTTTGTGGCGTGCCCAGCATCGGCTAGGTGCGCGGTCACAGAAGAGTTGGCTGTATTTCCGCTTCCAGTTCTAAGCCCGACCGGGTGGTGTTCCTTCATTCTCTCAGATAGACGTGGTGTCCTACAACCAATATATTCCGCTCCACAAGAGCATGAAAATGAGTAGACACACATTGAGTTGGTGTGGACAGGGCTCTTATCCCTTGAGTTTAGTCTCACCATCGGAATGCTAATGAACTGGAGTTGCATCTGCGCTGATGGATAGGTGCGTCTGAGTGCAAACAAAAGACGACGAGACAGAAATTCCGTCGCAACCTCGCCCTTGTATGGCGTTGTAGGAAGAAACGCCCTTAAAATCGTGCACGCTAGCGGGATTTACCGTACCGATTTCATGATTTGTATGTTAGCGTGTTGAAGAATGTCTGACAATATTACTACAATTAATCAATGCAAAATTGTCTCTGCCGGGGCTCGTTATTTGTCCGAAGACTGAATGTCAGATGAGCCGCATTCAGTGCTGTGATTAGTTGACTGTGTCACTGTGGTTACCGGGATGGCGGCTGTTTGGTTTTCCGGAATCGTCACGCATCTCAATCCTAGTGTCCTGTCAAAAAGATTGATATTTCCATGGTTGGTTCTCTCATGCATTATTCAAAACAAATCTGCTGCATTAATTGTGCCATGAGTACGTAAATCTAAATTTCGCGAATGGATTTCCACGGTACATCTTTTAAGTTGTTGTTGCTTACCTAGTAACCTAACCTTAATAAGACATGCACAAAAGGAGTAGCAAGACAAATTCAGAACGTAATAAATTCTGAGTTAATTTGTAACGAAGTAATGAGCAAAAGTGCCCTCGCGATCCGAGTGAATCATCAGGGTTATAGGTACCAAGGATCCAGTGTTCAGGATACTACACTTACCTTTGGAAATGTGACCGGTGTGCTGAGCACGGGCGGTTTGTAGGCGATACCAATCTTGGTTGGTTTTCTATTGTAATCTGCATAGCCTGGTCGATGTGGTGGCAGTTTGCGGCACTTGACTGCCTTTCTCGGCGGTGGCAGTTCCGGCGGGGTGGATTGTACAATGGGTTTTGTTAGCACTTCAGGTTTCTTGTTCTCTGGATGCGTCATGTAGAACGGGACCTTGAAAACATGCTTCTTCTGCGGTTGCGCATTCTCAGCATCTTCTTGCTTATTATCCTCTAAATAATACCAATCGCAGCGGCAATACGGAGCGGCAGGTCCTTTGTACGGCTCATTTTCTTTAAAGCAAAGCAGGTCTGGACGACCTCCCATTTTGGCCAGGCGAATATAGGGCGAATCAGTTGACTTAAATATGGTCTGGGGCTCACATTTTGGATAGGCCTCTTCTGGCATACAACCGATATCCGGAATCTGTGAAATAGGCGGCACAAACACTGGTCCTTTTTTCTTGCAAAAAGGGACTCCGTGGTACATCCAGCCGACATCCTTCAGGTTCGCATACATTGATGGACAAATTTGATGTCAATCAAAGGTCAAGTTCAATCCCTGTACATGTAGATTATCTGAAATTGCATCGGAGATGAGTAAGCGACATTTTCGGGAAATTCAAAGGCAACCGTTTTTGTGTGAAATTTACTCAAGTAGACTCTAAAATGAAGCAATCAGTTTACTTCGTCAAAACTCTTTCCGGAACGTTTGACTGATGTCATGTACTAGATTGACTGAACATTTCGACTAAAACCAACGTCAGAGCTGGAGAAAACATAATCCCAGCATAACTATACGGCACAATTACCAGCTGCTAGCTCAACGGAACTATGTCTATCCGCTGCCGTCAGTTTAAAAGTGGTAGCAGGAGACCTGGTGTTAGTGAAGCAATTTATGGCGAGAGTGGACAGCCCATGCACAACCTGTCAAAAGGTTTGAAGCGTTGGGCTGATGGTTTTAAATAGCAATTTAATCGAGCGAAATTGTAAAATTCTACACCGGCCAACGATTACCCTGTTCCCTGGGCCGTGCTTTTAGATTTGCCCTCTCGCTCAAGAGTCGAACTAGAGATCGGACTGTCAAAGTTGTAGAAAGCCACAAGACCAGCTGATCATCATCTAATCCTCTACAAATTCCAGGGTCCTGCTGTTGTTGCTGGTTGACACGATTTACTAGTAAAACTGTGGGAGCAGGAAACTCTCCATACCGACTGGAGCCACTCCGTTATTGTGCCGAGCATCAAACTAGGCTCGCGTTCGGAATGCGAAAACCATAGTCGAATCAGTATGATCCCCATCGCCTCGAAATTACTTGCCACTGTAATCCTTCACAGATTGACTGGCGTTCGTGAAAGCCAGATTCATGAAGAGCAAGCCGGGTTTCGTCGCCAGTTGGAACATCGTCACCTACATTGGCGGCCCACCGTTGTCGTATTCCTCGTCATCAAAGGTGCCTTCGATTCAGTGGATCGATGGGCCCTTGGGGAGTGTCTGCTAAGCGAAGGTGCACCCGAGAATTATGTAAATATTATGCGAGCGCTTTATGCGCTTATTTCGGCAGAGTCAGGGCTTACGACCAGCTGTTGCCGAGCTTCTATATCTCCAGCGATGAAAGACTAGGAAGCTTGTTATCACCTTTCCTATTCAACTTTACTATCGCCCAAGTCATGGAGATCGTGTTCACAGGACACTACTTAGCATAGGTGGAGTTGCTACCAGGTGAACGAATTCTTGACATGGAGTATGGTTGGCGGCATGCGGTTTCGGATTTGCCTGTCACTGTGGCCAGCCACAGGACGTCTGCGCCTACAGAGGGACCATGGGTGGCTTGCGCTGCACCACCCACAGCTCCATACACACACCCCATATCCAGTGTAAACCCGAAGGAATAAGACCGGAAGGCATGCGGATGGGAGCTACGTTTCATTAACGGAGCCGGCCCACACTCCTTCACAGGCAACCACAAGCCCGCTATATTTGGGAATCCAGCGCACACAAGGCGGTGGCTGGACTGTAGTCCGCTCCACACTGAGTGCACGGAACCACTCTTCGAGCCTAGCACGACCACAAGGACCGTGCACCCCGTCCCCTCCAACAATGACCAGCTGTCTCCTGGAGCCAGTATGAACGAGGTAGTGGGTAATAGACAGGTAGGTACCTTGTTAACATGCACATCAAGCGCAGCCACACCGGGGATATCAAACAACAGCCAAGCACTTGAGAGAGAGAGAGAGATACAAAGAAAATAACTCGATTAATGCATAAGGAAACGGTGACATAAACCTTAAGTTAATGAGCATATGAAATAAGTTGTTTACAAACGAATCCTAGATAAGTTCACAAGGTCAGAAAGTATATTTTACGGAATGCCACAAACACAAAAATGTTATGGAAATCGAATACAATTGGAATAAGTGAGGTGTTCAAGTTAATGGAATAGAGTACAGGCAGATATTTATATGACAAAGAAAAGCATTAAGGCAAAATTGAAAACCCACCACCTGAAATAAAGAGACTTAGCTGACTTGGAGTATACAGACGATATTACCCGCATCTGTGAAAGCTCACAAATGTGCCAAGCGGCACTGGACAGATAAACACTGATTGTCAGTCGTTTCGAGCTCTGCTTTGCACCCTCAATGTGCAAAGCTGTCCTCCAAGCTTTGCAGCGACCGCCTCCTGCGCTGACCCTTGGTGAGACTCAGCTAGAAGTCGTCCAAAATTCAACTATCTCAGAAGTTGTATCAGAGCCTGTGCGATTGTGGACAAGATCACAAACCCCATAGCAAAAGCACTAGGCGTTTTTGCCAACCTTCTTTACCTATGGCGCTGGTGCGACATCATTCTTGCTCTGAAGGGGAGTGTACAATGCAGTCGTACTTTCGATCCTGCTGTACGGTTGTGAAACCTGGTTCATTAGATCAGCCGACATGAAGAGGCTAGTTAGGTTCAATCAACGGTGCCTTCGCAGTTTGGCTCATATCTGATAAGAAGACCGATGTGAACAATGAGCGTCCCCGACGCCTTGTTTGTGGTGCAGGAAAAAGTAGCGAACCGCCAAGCACCGTTGTTTCACGTACCGACTCTCGCGACGTGAGTCGTTTGCGCGACCGGGGTGCGGATGGAAGAGTGGGACTGGTGGCCAAGTGATGAGTAGGTCGAGAGGAATTAAGGCCTTTACTTCGAAGTTGGCCTAGGTTGGAGCCTCTCGACTTCCTGATTGGGGATCGATGGACGATGAAGATGTTTGACTGGATACATTTGCTGCATGGCTAGGAGCCGACCTCATTGGCGTTTGTGTTGTGAGTTTCTTTGTCCCTCCCTTACCCGCTCAAGCTCCCCTCCAAACGTGATCTCATTCATTAGGCATAACTCAAATTTTGCTACACATTAGCCGGTTGTTGGCTCTCCAGAACGATGTCCATTGTTACCGGTGACACAACCGGCGTGCTTGTCTTATGTCTCATTTTTTCTTTTGTATTGCAGCATAATAGCTGTGTTTTTCACCTGCAGCTAATGTGTATGACGATGATGATGACCGCCAGCTCAGCTGACGTGCTTGTATTGCATCCTTTTCCCTTATCGTGTATTGCAACACAATAACTGAGGTGTTTCCCACCTCTAGCTAACGTGTGTGATCGTTATGGGGATCGTCACAGCTCTGCCTCAAAATTTCAAATTTTCCGGTATGTGGGCAATAAAATGTGACAGGTCACCAGGGTGCAAATATCCAGCTAACTTATACAGTCAACTGTTTAAACATTACCATGAATTGGTCGCTTTTTAAAACGATGGAGGATTGCCTTTACGCACATTCCGCTGCGAATTAGACCCATGAATGAAATCGATTTGCCGACGTACCACGTCCACGAAATAGGCGATCATTAAACTAAGCATGTGCGTCTCTGCTCCCCACTGGCTACCTTGATTTGTGCCCGCATATTGCTTCCATTAGAAGTCGTACCAACTGTACCAACTGCGAATTCGTTATATCCCAGTGTTACTTTCTACATACCAGACCACGGCCACCTGTAGTACGCAAATCCGTTCTACTGTGACCCACCGGATTTGGAGAGCTTCCAGCCTCTATGTTGCAAAAGTTAGTATTTGATTTATATGCATTATAAATACTCACGTTAATGATAAATTTGCAGGCCAACGTTGCCTGCTTTAGTTTTCAGTATATGCTCTCTGTTCAAATTCATGTAACCAATTTGAGCCACTGGTCCGAAGCTGGTTAACTTCGTCTCCCTTGGAGAATTCGCGGCAAGTTTCCAACGCAGTATGTCACCATAAGAGTTGCATTTGTACGATACATTGTACTTTGGCCGTTTATATAGAGTTAAAGCGAATGGGATAAGCGCAGTTTAGTTCCATTGTTTCAAGTTTTCGTAGTTCGGATCTCCGCGATGAGACTGGACCTCCATCGCAATGAGGCTGGACCTTACCGTGGTGCGATGGTTTGTATGCCTCAGGGATCCATTGCTCTATGCTGGGTGACGCTTTTTGCACCTTCAGAGCCACTCATACCAGATTAGTCAATGGTTAGAGGCCAGACAAACTCAGTCTCCTGGCCCTCTAGGTTTGGTGTTTGAGTGAGGGTGGTTCCTTACTCCATAAAAGAGGTGCTCTGTAGTCCAATGCCAAAACCCCGTTGACTTGCGGTAAGATTTTTGAACCAAAGGCTTTGGATGAGAACCCCAATCGTTCTCCTGTCTAGGCCTACGCAACTTGACAGTATTCTGCCAACGCAATAAAATGGAGCTTGCATCTCGGGTTTTAATCTTGGTGCTGTGAGCAACCAAAGTAACAGATTGACGGCGTCGCTATGGGCAGTGCTTTGGGACCAGTTCTGGCAGATATCTTCCTGAGTATGATTGAAAGGAAAGTTGCCGACTCCATAGGTGAAGCCAAGCTTTACTAGCATTATGTAGATGATGTTCTCGTCTTCGCTAATGGTGAACATTTTGATCGTCTTTCTGCCCTCCTGAACTCAATTCACCCGAACCTTTCTGTATCACAGGAGAAGGAACAAGAAGAGAGACTGCCGTTTCTAGATGTGCTCATCAAGAGGAGGACCGATGGCATATTGCAGCGCACGGTGTACAGAAAAGCGACATAGGGGGGACAATACCTACATTTTTCCAGCTTCGCCCCAGTTGCATATAAGCGCGGCCTTGTAAAAGCTCTCTTCTACAGGGCTAGGCGGATTTGCAGTCCGGAATTGCTCAAGGCTGAAGAAGGGTTTTTATACCGGACTTTGCTAGCCAGTGGGTATCCGGAGAAATTCATTCAGACCCATAGCAAACCCCCTGAGGTGAAGCTGCCCGTACAAACTGCGGAGATGAAGGATGTTTATTTGTTCGTACCCTTCAAGGGGAATCACTTAGCAAATGAAGTTGGTCACAAGCTCAGGTCCGCTCTAATGCGCAACTACTCTACCGCCCAACTACGTCTTATTCATACTACACGAAGGATTCCTCTCCACAGCCTTCCGAGCAGCGCGCCAATCAGTTC